GATCCACATCCATGCAACAAAGACATCTGCTCAGCTATGTTTATAGCAGCACTATTTGTAATAGTAAGAACCTGGAAGCAACCTAGATGCCCCTCAACTGAAGAATGGATAAAGAAGATGTGGCACATCTACACAATGGAATACTACTCTGCAGAAAAAAAAAATAATGGAATCTTGAAATTCGCAGGCAAGTGGATGACGCTAGAAGAAACCATCCTGAATAAGGTAACCCAGTCACAAAAAGAGGAACATGGCATGTACTCACTCATATATGGATTTTAGACCTAAAGCAAAGGACCACCAGCCTATAATTCACACCACCAGAGGAACTAGGATACAAGATGTATTCTAAGATATTCATATAAAGTCCCTCACAGAATGGGGAAGGGACAAGTTCCCCAGAGCACAGGAGAAGTGGGGGGAGGCAGTGAATGGAGAGAGAAGTAGGAGAAAGAGGGGGGGAGAGGAAAGCACGTGCAACTATAGGAAGATTGAGTCAGGGTAGGAATAGAAAACAGAAGAGATAGAGAGAGAGAGAAACAGAGAGGGAGAGAGAGAGAACATAAAAGAGGGAGCCATTATTTGTTTTAAGAGAAAACTGAACCTAAAGAAAGGTCTAGAGCCGCCTGAAACAGAGTACAAGCTGATTCTACATTCCAAACAGCTGGACAAAACAGCCCTGCAGACTACAGCTAGGATATCTGAATCTTCTTCAAATCCCCCAAGACAGTGCCCCTTACCAGCAGGAAGTAGTTTGGAAAGAACAACGCCCAAATTCCCAAATATTGTGTATAAATGTTTGTTTTCATTTAATTGGACTTTGTTATATAAAATTAAATATAAATAAATAAATAAATAAAAAGAAAAAAAAAAAGAAAGAAAGGTCTAGAGACCTACAAGACTGCCACCAACTAACAATTTGAGCAACCCTGGAAAGGTTAAATGCCCTTCCTGGATAGTGAGATCAACAATTAATGTATCCATGGAGTCCTCATCTAATACCTGTTGGAAACAGAAGCAAACACCCATACCTAAACACAGAATCAAACTAGAATCCAGATGCAGATGGAGAGGACAAGACCAGGCTGCAGAAACACATAGAGACAGCTTACCTGAACAAGGAGGAGCTAATGGGCCCCCAGACTGATAGCTGGGAAGCCAGCATGGGACTAACTCAGGCCCCCCTGAATATGGGTCTCAGCCAGAAGGACTGAGCAGTCTAAGGGACCTCAGACAGTGGAGCCAGGATGTATCCCTGGTGCACAAAAAGACCTTGCGAACACATCCCCCATGGAGGGATAACTGCCTTAATCTAGAGACAGGAGAGAAGTCCTAGTCCCTACTTCAAATGACCTGATAGACCTACATGACTCCACCTGGATGGCATTACCCTACATGTGGAGTCGGGGTGGGGGGATGGGAGAAGACGGTGGTCAGGGTGTATGTGTGGGAGCAGAGAGGGCAAAAGGGACGGAGGGAGAGGGAACTGGGATTGACATGTAAAATAATAAATAAAAATATAAAAGAACCACCTCAGGTTTAACTGACTAGGTGCATTACAGGTCAGTAGGCAACTTGTAATTTGGCACAGCAGAAAACATTTATTACCTAAGATGATTCTTTGGGTGTGATATGCAAATATTGAGAGTAAGTAGTAAGTCTCCTACTGAGCTGGCACTATGGTATGTGCACAACCTTTATGAGCCATCCACTGGTGGTGCATTTCTTATCACCTGACCTTAGGTGTAGACCTTCTGACTCTTTCCATTTATGGAGATGGACAATGGGATTCTTAGCAAATCTCTTCCTCACTGTCATAGGTATTTCCAGTCACAGAAAGCTGACATGCTACACTGAGGTTCATTCAGTATCAGTGTGCTTCTTTACGCAGAGAGACTGGATAATTGCTTTGTTGTATCTTCCTTATTTTATTGTTTCTTCTCCAATTATAATGCAACTTTTTAGAATCAAAGACAATATTGTTTTCCTTTTGGAGATCTGCTGTTATCCCTCCCAGGAGGTTCTAGATTCTTGAATTCTCTTGAGTTTTGTAAAGCTGTGGATTCCTTCCAGACTAATGTGGTTTGATCAAGCCAGACCGCTTAAAACAGAGTACCAGGTGATCCTACATTCAAAACAGCTGGACAAAGCAGCCTTACAGTCTACAGCCAGGATTTCTGCATCTTCTTAGAATCCCCCATGACAGCGCCCCTTACCAGCAGAAAGTAGTTTGGAAAGAGCGATGCCCAAATTCCCAAATATTGTCTATAAATGTTTGTTTTCATTTAAATGGACTTGGTTACATAAAATAAAAAAATTAAATTGATAATTAAAAAAAAGAGTTTTGTATTATAACCTAGTCAAATTCCTGAGACTTCACATGTGATGACAATGGCAACAGTTTCTGTCACCATTTGGTATTTTATATTTTAGAACTTAAACTTCAGATTTCCTGTCTTGAAGGTGATAGTTTATGCAAGGACCATTACTCTGTCCTTTGAAAAAAGATATTTTTTTCACAGTAAATATGAAGAAAATGGATGGTTAATGAAAGAAAGTGGTGACATTAAGGGACATTCAGGAAGTGTTGAGGAAGATGGAATTGAGTGTAATAAAATTCAACAAAAGACCCTGAGACTGATATGGAGGTTCAAACTTCAAGCTGAATATCAGAAAAGCCAAATGGAAGGTCACTAGCTTCTTACCTCTAGCTCAGGCTGAATGGGCTAATCCAGTCTCTATGAGCTCTCACCAAGACTCAGACTATAATATCTCCTCAGTGTGGCTGGAGAATAACACCCCCTACTGAGCCCTGTTCCTAACTTAAATACTTCTCAGGAATTCTGAGATAAAGGTGTAAGCTATAATTCTCTTTTAGACTGATACAGTCTTGTGTATATTTGGGTGGCCTTGGACTCACAGAGATCCATCCACCTCTTAATCCCGAGACCTTGGATTAATGGCACGTACCACTACCTGCTACTTTATGGCAGCTGGAATTAAAGGTGTATGTGTGGCTTCTATGGCTGTGGCTGGCTTTCCATTCTGAATCTTCAGGAAAGCTTTAATAAATCGTAAATAATAAATCACTGCAATTGAGAATTTGTTCTGATATTCCATAAGCTTGTGGTTCTTTCTCTGTAGAGAATCATCACTTGTGAGAACTGTCATATATTATCTTTCAGATTCTGAGATATTAGCACTATATAATACCAATAGCACCATTGTAAGCAACCCTGCCAGCCTTCTTCTGTGTGCCCATCCCCAAAGTGACCAGAGCCTTGTCTACTCTCAACCTGCTCTGATACTTGTCTTTCTCTAAAGTGCCCAGAGATTTGGACTCCCTCAAAGTGTTCTAGATTTACAAGTCAACCAATTATTTTTAATCCATTCTGTCAGTTTTCATGCAGCAAAGAATCATTAATAAACAGTAGAAAATTTGTATTTATATGTATATATATACAAATATGGTAGAAGAAAGTGGAAGACTGATGCTCTGTGTGTCTGTGTCTCTGTCTCTCTGTGTGAGTATGCCTGTGCAAGAATGAGCACATGCGCTGTATATGAAGGGTTCAGTACACAGTGTGTACCATAGTTGAAGGTGCTCTCACCAGCCCTTCACACAAGAGAAGTATGGAAGATCCTGAGTCCTCATGCTAACACCTAGCAAGAACATGGTTAGGGCAGCTGTTATTTTTATCTCCTCTTCTGTCATGGTAAACAAGCAGTCTTATGGTCATCACCAGAGGGAAGTCTAAATATATACCCAAATATGTTGTCTGAGATGGATGTCATGAAGAGGGTGAGGATAAGCCCCGAGCCCATCAGCCTCCCCCATGAGCAGCATATTAGTCTGTCTCCAGGCCCAGGGTTATCAAAGATGAAGCATAAATCACAGCTAATCTTCCCTGTATTACTTTCCTTCATTCAGTACTAAGGCAAATCCTAGGCAAATCCTACCTAGAAACCAGGAACATATATGAGCCAAGGCATCAAAGAATGTCAGTGACCTGAAGCAGGACAAAGAGGACAAAAAGAGTGATACAGAGAAAAGAAATATTTTCTTCAATGAAATAACAGTACTCAGACAACCAGGCAGGGCTTACTGAAACTGAAAAGACAGGAGGGCCCAATGAGTCACAGCACTTTACAGACTTTACAGTGATGATATCCAGACAAGCCAGTCATGCATGGATTTGCATTTTTGTTGGGAAATTCTTGGACTTGCCCACTGTCATTCAGTTCTACTTCCACTGGGCTGGGCAGCCAGTCCTATAAAGAGGTCCTTGGTTCTATGACTGCAGGTACTCAAGTCCTGGACTACTTTCGAGAACCTGGTGAGTGTCTTTTCTTGAGCTGGTCTGTCTTTGTGTTCTTCTCATGTGCTGAAGTCAGTTTTGATGGAGTAAGTATGAGGAGCCCAGTTATGATCATGCGACAAAAATATCAAATTAGCAGTTTGTAGTGGAAACAATGGTCTACTGTGATAGGTAGTTTTCCTTTATCTGATATGCAGTTGAACAGGGTATATTTCATCTTCATATTCATATTTTTGGTGGCCTTTACAGATTTCTATATCTTAGTACGTATCAGAACATGGGACTTTCCTAAGCTGTCCTTTATTATAAACCCCAGACAATATACTGTGATCTCACAAGTGACAAGGGATACAGGATGGGTTCTCAGAATGTTCAAGGAACAAGGACTTGAGATGACCTGTCTCAAAGATATTTCTCTTTGAAAACAGAATTATTTGCTTCATTCAAACAAAATATTTTTTCCCCCAAAAGGCACGAAACAAATGGGATTTCCCAAGTCTAATGACAGATTGCTGACAGGAAAAGGAAACATCATAATGTAGTAAAAGAGGATTTAGGGAATATGTGCATGCCTGAAGTGAGAAATGGAACTGATGTTCCATGTCTGCATCAGTCTTCTCTGTGTGGATCAGCCTTGAACACTCTCTAGTAATGTCTTTCAGATCCTGAGACTTCAGCACGATGTCTTACCAACAGCAGCAGTGCAAGCAGCCCTGCCAGCCTCCTCCTGTGTGCCCACCCTCCCCACAGTGCCCAGAGCCTTGTCCTCCCCCACAGTGCCCAGAGCCTTGTCCTCCCCCACAGTGCCCAGAGCCTTGTCTTCCCCCACAGTGCCCAGAGCCATGCCTCCCTCAGCAATGCCAGCAGAAATGCCCTCCTGTGCAACCTCCTCCACTGTGCCAGCAGAAGTGCCCACCTAAGAGCAAGTGATTGCTTCAGTAGTCATCAGGACCAAGAGAAGGAAATCCATCTCTCCCACTTCCATAGAAATACTTCCTTCTTCACTTCAAATCCTGTCACAGTTGCAGAAGAATCTCCTCCACACTTCACCCTCAGGTGGCTTTGATACACCATGATAGGGAAGGCATTCACCTGATGTTGTTCTGCTTCTGCCATCAATGGGCTGCTGAGAGTGATCCTTCCTCAATGGTTCAGTGTCCCAGATGTAAAGAGCAGCAGCTTTCTACCTTGTGCACTGGGAGGATGTTTTCTAAAACTGTCAGACACCTTGACTGGGTTGTTTCTACTGTGGTTCATTTCCTAAATAAAGTACAATCTGACTGATAGTATTTATGACTTCTTTCTTCCCTAATATTCATCCTGTTATCTTTCTAACATGCTCGTTTCCCTTTGTTTTTATTCTTTGATTCCCAGGTCATTCTGCTATAATCAGGTTTAAAATGAGTTTTGGGTCATAACAAAGATTACTGAGTGTTTGCTTGATGAACATATTTTTCTGCATAATTGCAACTTATCCTTTAGCAGATGCTAACTTAAGAAGATGTGATTGATATTCAGATATATGTGCACCACTTATGGCATATTTTCCCCCTTAATATCCATGTATTTTGCTCTTACGTGTCCCTTTCTTTTGGCATAATAGTTACACATCTGCATCAACCTATCCTTGGTATGTTTTTTCCTTCAATATTTGGGACATTCTTGTCAACCTTTTATTTAATAGGGTATTTTTCGATACATGATGATACAGTTTCAGGTGTTTGTGTGAAATGGACATAGTGTATTTGTTCTTTATGACATATTATTACTTCAGTAAGCAAGTGCCTCATTTTTAAGTTGTTAGCAGATTCTTTTTTTATCTTAAATTTTCAATTTGTATTACATATCAACCTTAGATCCCCCTCCATTCCAGCCTCCCACTCCACTCCACTTCCTTCCAACTCCACCCCTTATCCATTCTTCAGAATGTGCAAGTCCTATCTTGGGTAGTTCAGAAAGCATGATACATCACGTTTAAGCTAGACAAAGCCCCTCTCCACTGCATCAAGCCTGCCTGAGCAAGGCACCCCACCACAGGGAATGTACTCTAAAAAGCCAGCTCATGTACTAAAGAGATCCTGTCCCACTGCCAGGAGCCTTACAAACAGACTAAGCCACACAGATGTCACCCACATGCAAAGTGCCTAGCTCAGACCCATGTAGGCTCCCCAAATGTAAGTTCAGAGTCCATGAGCTCCCAGGAGCTTGGATCAGCTCTCTCTGTGGATTTTCCCATCATGATCCTGACCTACTTGTCTCATATAATCTCCTCCCTCTCTTTTATGGGACTGTCTGAGCTCAGCCCTGTGATTAGCTGTGGATTTATGCATCTCTTTCTCTCAGTTACTGGATGAAGGTTCTATGATGACAATTTGGGTAATCACCAATCTGATTATAGGAGAAGTTCAGTTCAGGCATCATGTCCACTATTTCTAGTAGTCTTAGCTGGAATCATCCTTATGGATTCCTGGAAATTTTCATAGCACTAGGTTTCTTCCCAACCCCACAATAGCTCTTCCATCAAGACATCTTTTTCATACACTGGTTAGCAGCTACACTGATTATTTAACTTGTATTATGGACTAGTCTGAAATATAGATGGATGTGCAGGCATCTCTATTGTATGCTCTGTCTGACTTCTTTTCTTTTGATACCAAATGATGCTGCTGGATCACATAATAGTTCTGCATTAGTGTTATTTCTTTGGAGGAAACTCCACACTGATTTCCATATTCTACTCTCCCATAGTCTGACAGTTTCTGTTCTTTTCCTCCACTCCTCTTCCAGGATTTGTTGCTATTATTTTGAGGGTACTCATTCTTACATGGGTAAAATGGTCTTCTGGTGTAGGTTTGGTTTTCAGTTCTCTAACAGCTAAAGATGTTGAACATTTTCTTATTACTGTTACTTGTGGAAACTTATAAGTATACAAAAGTCTTTCCTTTGATCATAATTAAAATTATGTACGTCATTTGATTGGCACAATCTGAGCCACCTAATTAGCACTAAGGCAGTAATAGGCTTAAAAGCTGCTGATCTATATCATTTCCACTACCCTCACTATCAATCCCAGTTTCATCAGCAACATCTTCAACATCATCACAGTTACCACCCTCAGTATCACAGTTGGTACAAGCTATCACACCAGCTATCTCTGCCTACCTTCACTATCATTGCTACCCTTGCCTTTCCTTCTCTTTCCACCCAGCCTTGATTAATTTCTTTTTGCTTCTCCTTGCCTCCATCATTTCTATTTTGTGTAATCCAACTACTCTAGAGAATAGGGCCTACCCTGATCAATATAAGAAAGATCACATCTTATAAAAACGGACACTTCTTCCTTCAAAAGATATCAACTGCCCATAGTTCCTCACCTGGTGGTGTGATTTCACATATACATGTGCTTGTATGATGAGCTTTGGTCTGGCTTAGGCTTTGTGAATGCTTTGTGAATAGTTATGTTTTCAAATGTTTAGTGGCCTGTTTATGTGAACAAACAGTTTCTACCTCTTCTATGAGGTAATGCTAAGTACATAGCAGTCTTATATTCTTTGTAATACTTATTAGTTGTGAGTTTCTATGTTAAATATCAATGGTAATGAGAAGATTTTCAGATGAGGAATGAGAGTATGTTGATTTAGTAATGTCACTACAATTTCCGGGTTGATTTTATTCATTTATTAGAATAATAGTATTGATTGGATTATCTTTCAGAGCATATATCCTATCTAGCTACAGATTCTCTCTTTTTATTAATGCTAGGAATTCACTTTGTCTCATGGACAAGAACCTAAATCCCAACAGAAAGTGGTTGGTGACTCCCATACATTTGTGCCACTATCATGCCAGTGGGCATAACTTGTCAAGCCAGGCTTTGATATAGTTTGCAAAGCTCAGAACTTGTTAAGACTGGTGAGTACTTTTCCTCTTCAGCAGTACATAGCACCTTCCTGTACCATGAGTACTGACCAGTATGGACAAAGTGTCTGGGTTTATACCTCCTAGATTTGTCCATGTTCTCTTACTTAAGCATTGATGGCTACAGAAATAGGGGTTTATCCTCAAGTTTATGATGGAAGACAACTCATGTGAAATAGTCTGTAATGTAGTGAAATTAGTGGATGGGGCCCCACTAGCTATCAACTAAATAGAGGTGAGGTATTATTTCTACTGAAGTTTGCATGTGTTATGGTGAGTTATCTACTTGAGGTATTGCTCCCCCATAGAGTTTTAAGATTACTCTAATAATTAAACATTTAGTATTTGATTATATTTTAGTAAGCCTTTAGAGTAGTAGATTTCCCTATGGCTCTTTCAAAAGGTTTTAAATATTAATAATCTTTCTCTATACGCCTAGATCTATCCTGTCTTCACCACAATGTAAGTCTTCACTTTACATTATTTCTTTTAATCCTTTGTAACCCGCTGCTGTATGGGCAACATTCAGAAGAAGAACCTCAGGTTTAATTGACTGTGTTTTAATTTGGCATCTCATGTCAGTAGGCAATTACAATTTTGCATAGCAGAAGCATGTACATTATCTAAGATGATTCTTCAAGTATGATATGCAAATATAGAGAGTAGTAAGTCTCCTACTGACCTGGCACTATGGTATGTGTGCTAATCTTTATGAGTCATCTTCTGGTGGTGTGTTTCTTGTTTCCTGGCCCTTGGTGTAGAACTTATGATTCTTTCCCTTTAGTGAGATGGACAACGGCATTCTCAGCTAAATCTTTCCTTATTCAAAGGTATTTCCTGTCACAGAAAGTTGATGTGCTACATTGAGGTTCAGTACCAGAGTGCTTCCCAGAGCAGAGAGACTGGATAATGCCTTTGTTACATTTTCCTTATTTTATTGTCTCTCCTCCAATTATAAAGCAAGTTTTTAGAATAAAAGAGAATATAATTTTCCTTTAGTTACTCTTCTGTTCTCTTCCATAGGAGGTTCTAGATTCTTGAATTCTCCTGAGTTTTGTTTTATACCCTAGTCAAGTTCCTGGAATGTCACATGTGATAACAATTGCAGTAGTTTTGGTCACTGCTGAGAGATTTTGGCACTTTAGAACTTAAAGTTCAGACTTCCTGTATTGAAGATGATATTTTATTCAAGTACCATTACTCTTTTCTTCTAAGAAAGTTGTTTTCTCACAGTAAATATGAAGAAAAAATGATGATTATGATCGTTAATGAAACAAAAGATGACATGGAATGAACATTCAGGGAATCTTTAGGAAGATGGGTTGAGGAATAGTTCTGATGTTTCATAAACTTGAGATTCTTGCTCTTTGGAGAATAGCCTCTTTTGAGGACTGTCATGTAGTGTCTTTCAGATCCTGAAATTTTAGCATGATATCTTACCAATAGCAGTAGTGCTAGCTTCCCTGCCAGCCTCCCCCTATGTGTCCAACCCCAAAGTGACCAGAGTCTTGCCTACCCTCAATGTGTTCTGAGACTTGTTTTTCTCCAAAGTGCCTAGAGCACTGGACTCCCTCAAAATGTTGTTGAGTAAATCAAGAATTACGATACAACCATTTTTTTGATTTATTCTGTCAATTTCCTTACAGCAATGTATCATTGACATTAGAAAGGTGTGTGTGTGTGTGTGTGTGTGTGTGTGTGTGTGTGTGTATGTGTGTGTGTATGGCAAATAAAAATGGAAGACTGATGCTCTATCTGTGAGTCTGCCTCTCTCTCTGTGTGTATATGAGAATGTGTGTGTGTGTGTGTGTATGTGCAAGAATAAGTTATATGTGCTGTATATTAAGTATGCACTATACTATGTGTTTTGGAAGTTCTCATAGAAACTCCAGTTGGGATGTACCACAGTCACAGATGGTCTCCACACAAGAGAAGTGTGGGAGATCTAGTCACCTAAGCAAGAACATGTTTAGCACAGGTTTGATTTTAGTTCCTCTTCAATCAAGATAAAC